GAGTCGATACAGGAAATTGGCAATGGACCACAGCTTCTGTCTGAATCCATGGTCGCCGGTGTGCCGGATGTAGATTGAGGAGGATGCTTATCAGGAGGATCTCGGCTTCAGCCTCGGCCAGATCGGCAAGTCCGGCGCTGGCCGCATTCGTGCAGCACAGGCCAACGAGGTGACCAAGGCTCGGATCTCCAAGTCCATGCAGGTAACAGCCTCACCCGGTTACTCACCCAGCCACTCACCCAGCCACTCACCCGGTTACTCACCCAGTCAACCACCCAGCCACTCACCCAGTCACTCACCCAGTCAACCACCCACTCACCCAGTCACTCACCCAGTCACTCACCCAGTTACTCACCCAGTTACTCACCCAGTCACTCACCCAGTTACTCACCCAGTCACTCACCCAGTTACTCACCCAGTTACTCACCCAGTCACTCACCCAGTTACTCACCCAGTCACTCACCCAGTTACTCACCCAGTTACTCACCCAGTCACTCACCCAGTTACTCACCCAGTCACTCACCCAGTTACTCACCCAGTTACTCACCCAGTTACTCACCCAGTTACTCACCCAGCCACTCACCCAGCCGCTCACCCAGTTACTCACCCAGTCACTCACCCAGTTACTCACCCAGTTACTCACCCAGCCACTCACTCACCCAGTTACTCACCCAGCCACTCACCCGGTTACTCACCCGGTTACTCACCCAGCCACTCACCCAGCCACTCACCCAGTTACTCACCCAGCCACTCACCCAGCCACTCACCCAGTTACTTACCCAGTTACTCACCCAGTTACTCACCCAGTTACTCACCCAGCCACTCATCTAGTCACTCAGTTACTCACCCAGTTACTCACCCAGTTACTCACCCAGTTACTCACCCTGTTACTCACCCAGTTACTCACCCAGTTACTCACCCAGTTACTCACCCTGTTACTCACCCTGTTACTCACCCAGTTACTCACCCAGTTACTCACCCAGTTACTCACCCAGCCACTCATCTAGTCACTCAGTTACTCACCCAGTTACTCACCCAGTTACTCACCCAGCCGCTCACCCAGTTACTCACCCAGCCACTCACCCAGCCACTCACCCAGTTACTCACCCAGTTACTCACCCGGTTACTCACCCAGCCACTCACCCAGCCACTCACCTAGTTACTCACCCAGTTACTCACCCAGTTACTCACCCAGTTACTCACCCAGTTACTCACCCAGTTACTCACCCGGTTACTCACCCAGCCACTCACCCAGTCACTCACCCAGTTACTCACCCAGTTACTCACCCAGCCACTCACCCAGCCGCTCACCTAGTCACTCACCCAGTTACTCACCCAGTCACTCACCCAGTTACTCACCCAGTTACTCACCCAGTTACTCACCCAGTTACTCACCCAGCCACTCACCCAGCCACTCACCCAGCCACTCACCCAGTTACTCACCCAGTTACTCACCCAGTCACTCACCCACTCACTCACCCAGTCAACCACCCACTCACCTAGTCACTCACCCAGTTACTCACCCAGCCACTCACCCAGCCACTCACCCTGTTACTCACCCAGTTACTCACCCAGCCACTCACCCAGCCACTCATCCAGTTACTCACCCAGCCACTCACCTAGTCACTCACCCAGTTACTCACCCAGCCACTCACCCAGCCACTCACCCAGTCACTCACCCAGTCAACCACCCACTCACCTAGTCACTCACCCAGTTACTCACCCAGCCACTCACCCAGCCACTCACGCAGTTACTCACCCAGCCACTCACCCACTCACCTAGTTACTCACCCAGTTACTCACCCAGCCACTCACCTAGTTACTCACCCAGTTACTCACCCAGTTACTCACCCAGCCACTCATCTAGTCACTCAGTTACTCACCCAGTTACTCACCCAGTTACTCACCCAGTTACTCACCCACTCACCCAGTCACTCACCCACTCACCCAGTTACTCACCCAGCCACTCACCCAGCCGCTCACCCAGCCGCTCACCCAGTTACTCACCCAGCCACTCACCCACTCACCTAGTTACTCACCCAGTTACTCACGCAGCCGCTCATCCAGTCACCCAGTTACTCACTCAGTCACTCACCCAGCCACTCACCCAGCCACTCACCCAGTTACTCACCCAGTCACTCACCCAGTTACTCACCCAGCCACTCACCCAGCCACTCACCCAGTTACTCACCCAGTTACTCACCCAGCCACTCATCTAGTCACTCAGTTACTCACTCACCCAGTTACTCACCCAGCCACTCACCCAGTTACTCACCTAGTTACTCACCCAGTTACTCACGCAGCCGCTCATCCAGTCACCCAGTTACTCACTCAGTCACTCACCCAGCCACTCACCCAGCCACTCACCCAGTCACTCACCCAGCCACTCACCCAGTCACTCGCCCAGTTACTCACCCAGCCGCTCACCCAGTCACTCACCCAGTTACTCACCCAGCCACTCACCCAGTCACTCACCCAGTTACTCACCCAGTTACTCACCCAGTTACTCACCCAGTTACTCACCCAGCCGCTCACCCAGTTACTCACCCAGTCACTCACCCAGTTACTCACCCACTCACTCACCCAGTTACTCACCCAGTTACTCACCCAGTTACTCACCCACTCACTCACCCAGTTACTCACCCAGCCACTCACCCACCCACTCACCCACTCACTCACCCAGTCACTCATCCAGTCACCCAGTCACTCACCCAGTTACTCACCCAGTTACTCACCCAGCCACTCACCCAGTCACTCACCCAGTCACTCACCCAGTTACTCACCCAGCCACTCACCCAGCCGCTCACCCAGCCGCTCACCCACTCACTCACCCAGTTACTCGCCCAGCCGCTCATCCAGTCACTCACCCAGTTACTCACCCAGCCACTCACCCAGCCGCTCACCCAGCCACTCACCCAGTCGCTCACCCAGTTACTCACCCAGTCACTCACCCAGTTACTCACCCAGCCGCTCACCCAGTTACTCACCCAGCCGCTCACCCAGTTACTCACCCAGTTACTCACCCAGTCACTCACCCAGTTACTCACCCTGCCGCTCACCCAGCCGCTCACCCAGTTACTCACCCAGTTACTCACCCAGCCACTCACCCAGCCGCTCACCCAGCCGCTCACCCAGTTACTCACCCAGTTACTCACCCAGTTACTCACCCAGCCGCTCACCCAGTTACTCACCCAGTTACTCACCCAGCCACTCACCCAGCCGCTCACCCAGCCGCTCACCCAGTTACTCACCCAGTTACTCACCCAGTTACTCACCCAGCCGCTCACCCAGTTACTCACCCAGTCACTCACCCAGTTACTCACCCAGTTACTCACCCAGTTACTCACCCAGTTACTCACCCAGCCACTCACCCAGCCGCTCACCCAGCCACTCACCCAGTTACTCACCCAGTTACTCACCCAGTTACTCACCCAGCCGCTCACCCAGTTACTCACCCAGTTACTCACCCAGCCACTCACCCAGCCGCTCACCCAGCCGCTCACCCAGTTACTCACCCAGTTACTCACCCAGTTACTCACCCAGCCGCTCACCCAGTTACTCACCCAGTCACTCACCCAGTTACTCACCCAGTTACTCACCCAGTTACTCACCCAGTTACTCACCCAGCCACTCACCCAGCCGCTCACCCAGCCGCTCACCCAGTTACTCACCCAGTTACTCACCCAGTTACTCACCCAGCCGCTCACCCAGTTACTCACCCAGTTACTCACCCAGCCACTCACCCAGCCGCTCACCCAGCCGCTCACCCAGTTACTCACCCAATTACTCACCCAGCCACTCACTCAGTCACTCACCCACTCACTCACCCACTCACTCAGTCAACCACCCACTCACCCACTCACTCACCCACTCACTCACCCAGCCGCTCACCCAGTTACCCAGTTACTCACCCAGTTACTCACCCAGTTACTCACCTAGTTACTCACCCAGCCGCTCACCCAGTTACTCACCCAGTTACTCACCCAGCCACTCACCCACTCACTCACCCAGTTACTCACCCAGTCACTCACTCACTCACTCACCCAGTCACTCACTCACTCACCCAGTTACTCACCCAGCCACTCACCCAGTCACTCACCCACTCACTCACCCAGCCACTCACCCAGTTACTCACCCAGCCACTCACCCACTCACCCACTCACTCACCCAGCCACTCACCCAGTTACTCACCCAGCCACTCACCCAGTTACTCACCCAGCCGCTCACCCAGTTTCTCACCCAGCCGCTCACCCAGTCACTCACCCACTCACTCACCCACTCACTCACCCAGTCACTCACTCACCCAGTCACTCACCCAGTCACTCACCCAGTCACTCACCCAGTCACTCACCTACTCACTCACCCACTCACTCACCCAGTTACTCACCCAGTTACTCACCCAGCCGCTCACCCAGTCACTCACCCAGCCGCTCACCCAGTCACTCACCCAGTTACTCACCCAGTCACTCACTCACTCACCCAGTTACTCACCCAGTTACTCACCCAGCCGCTCACCCAGTAACTCACCCAGTTACTCACCCAGTTACTCACCCAGCCGCTCACCCAGTAACTCACCCAGTTACTCACCCAGTTACTCACCCAGCCGCTCACCCAGTTACTCACCCAGTTACTCACCCAGCCGCTCACCCAGTCACTCACTCACTCACCCAGTCGCTCACCCAGTTACTCACCCAGTCGCTCACCCAGTTACTCACCCAGCCGCTCACCCAGTTACTCACCCAGCCGCTCACCCAGTTACTCACCCAGCCGCTCACCCAGTCACTCACCGACTCACCCACCCACTCACTCACCCAGTTACTCGCCCAGTTACTCACCCAGCCGCTCACCCAGTTACTCACCCAGTTACTCACCCAGTTACTCACCCAGTTACTCACCCAGTCGCTCACCCAGTCACTCACCCAGTCACTCACCCAGTGACTCACCCACTCACTCACCCAGTTACTCGCCCAGTTACTCACCCAGCCGCTCACCCAGTTACTCACCCAGTTACTCACCCAGTTACTCACCCAGTTACTCACCCAGTCGCTCACCCAGCCGCTCACCCAGTTACTCACCCAGTTACTCACCCAGTTACTCACCCAGTTACTCACCCAGTCACTCACCCAGTCACTCACCCAGTGACTCACCCAGTGACTCACCCAGTGACTCACCCAGTTACTCACCCAGTCACTCACCCAGTTACTCACCCAGTTACTCACCCAGTCACCCAGTCACTCACCCACTCACTCACCCAGTCACTCACCCAGTCACTCACCCAGTCACTCACCCAGTTACTCACCCAGTCACTCACCCAGTCACTCACCCAGTCACTCACCCAGTTACTCACCCAGTTACTCACCCAGTCACTCACCCAGTCACCCACTCACTCACCCACTCACTCACCCAGTCACTCACCCACTCACTCACCCAGTCACTCACCCAGTCACTCACCCAGTCACTCACCCAGTTACTCACCCAGTGACTCACCCAGTCACTCACCCAGTCGCTCACCCAGTTACTCACCCAGTCACTCACCCAGTCACCCAGTCACTCACCCAGTCACTCACCCAGTCACTCACCCAGTGACTCACCCAGTGACTCACCCAGTTACTCACCCAGTTACTCACCCAGTTACTCACCCAGTCACCCAGTCACTCACCCACTCACTCACCCAGTCACTCACCCAGTTACTCACCCAGTCACTCACCCAGTTACTCACCCAGTTACTCACCCAGTCACTCACCCAGTCACCCACTCACTCACCCACTCACTCACCCAGTCACTCACCCAGTCACTCACCCACTCACTCACCCAGTCACTCACCCAGTCACTCACCCACTCACTCACCCAGTCACTCACCCAGTCACTCACCCAGTTACTCACCCAGTTACTCACCCAGTGACTCACCCAGTCGCTCACCCAGTCGCCCACCCAGCCGCTCACCCAGTTACTCACCTAGTTACTCACCTAGTTACTCACCCAGTCACTCACCCAGGCACTCATTCACTCACCCACTCACCCAGTCACTCACCCAGGTACTCATTCACTCACCCACTCACTCACCCACCCACTCATTCACTCACCCACTCACCCACCCACTCACTCACCCAGTCACTCACCCAGTCACTCACCCACTCACCCAGTCACTCACCCAGTCACTCACCCAGTCACTCACCCACTCACCCACTCACTCAGTCACTCACCCACTCACTCACTCACAGTAGCACTTCCAAGTCAATGGAGATACTACTGTGCTGATGATGCTGCTGCTACTGATGATGATACTGATGCTGCTACCGATGATACTGCTACTGCTGCTACTACTGCTGATGATACTGCTACTGATGATGATGCTACTGATGATGATGATGCTACTGATGATGATACTGATGATGATGCTACTGATAATGCTGCTACTGCTGCTACTACTGATGATGATACTGCTACTGATGATGATGCTACTGCTACTGATGATGATACTGATGATGATGCTGCTACTACTGATGATGATACTGCTGATGATACTGCTACTGATAATGATACTGATGATGATGATACTGCTACTGATGATGATACTGATGATGATACTACTACTGCTGATGATGATACTGCTACTGATGATGATACTGATGATGATACTGATGATGATACTACTACTACTACTGATGATGATACTACTGCTGATGATGATACTACTACTGCTGCTGATGATACTGCTACTGCTGCTACTACTGATGATGATACTACTACTGCTGCTGCTGATGATGATACTGCTACTGCTGCTTCTACTGATGATGATACTGATGATGATGCTACTGCTGCTGCTGCTACTGATGATGATACTGCTACTACTGATGATGATACTACTGATGCTGATGATGATACTACTACTGCTACTGCTGCTGCTACTACTGATGATGATACTACTGCTGCTACTACTACTGATGATGATACTACTGATGCTGATGATGATACTACTGCTGCTACTACTACTGATGATGATACTACTGCTGCTACTACTACTGATGATGATACTACTGATGCTGATGATGATACTACTGCTGCTACTACTACTGATGATGATACTACTGATGCTGATGATGATACTACTGCTGCTACTACTACTGATGATGATACTACTGATGCTGATGATGATACTACTGCTGCTACTACTACTGATGATGATACTACTGATGCTGATGATGATACTACTGCTGCTGCTGCTACTGCTACTGCTGCTGGTTGTGTAACAGAGGACGCTTCAGAAGCAGGTGTATGGGGGCAAGTCCACAGTGAGGGACCGCACGTCTGGGACGGCTTCCAGCGTCGCCTTCACCCCTCTACAGGTGGGGGAGGGGAGGGGGGGAGGGGGAGGGGGGAGAAGGGGGGGAGGGGGGGGAGGGGGGGGAGGGAGCAGGGGGGGGAGGGGAGAGAAGGGGGGAGGGGAGAGAAGGGGGGGAGGGAGAAGGGGGGGAGGGAGAAGGGGGGAAGGGAGAAGGGGGGGAGGGGAGAGAAGGGGGGTAGGGGAGAGAAGGGGGGGAGGGGAGAGAAGGGGGGGAGGGGAGAGAAGGGGGGTAGGGGAGAGAAGGGGGGGAGGGGAGAGAAGGGGGGGAGGGGAGAGAAGGGGGGGAGGGGAGAGATTGGAGGAGTGTAGGGATGGAGGGAGAGTGGAGGTGAGGAGATGAGACTTTAATCTGTGAGTGTCCTGCTGTGTCTCCCCCCATCTCCCCCCCCCATCTCCCCCCCCCCCCCCCCCCCCCGTGCCAGGGACTGGAGATTGTGAATCCCCACGCAGCTGAGAAGAAAGTGGGCGAAGCCGCCCAGAAATATTTCTGTGTCTCCGCGGAGTTCCTGAGAGTGAAGAGGGAGAGACACGGAGACACTCCGGCACCCAGATAGAGACACGGGGAGAGAGAGAGACACGGGGAGAGAGAGACACGGGGAGAGAGAGAGAGACACGGGGAGAGAGACACGGGGAGAGAGACACGGAGACACTCCGGCACCCAGATAGAGACACGGGGAGAGAGAGAGACACGGAGACACTCCGGCACCCAGATAGAGACACGGGGAGACACACGGGGAGAGAGAGACACACGGGGAGAGAGAGACACGGGGAGAGAGAGAGACACGGGGAGAGAGAGACACGGGGAGAGAGAGAGACACGGAGACACTCCGGCACCCAGATAGAGACACGGGGAGAGAGAGAGACACGGGGAGAGAGAGAGACACGGGGAGAGAGAGAGAGACACGGGGAGAGAGAGAGAGACACGGGGAGAGAGAGAGACACGGGGAGAGAGAGACACGGAGACACTCCGGCACCCAGATAGACACACGGGGAGAGAGAGAGAGACACGGGGAGAGAGAGACACGGGGAGAGAGAGACACGGGGAGAGAGAGACACGGGGAGAGAGAGACACGGGGAGAGAGAGACACGGGGAGAGAGAGAGACACGGGGAGAGAGAGACACGGGGAGAGAGAGAGACACGGGGAGAGAGAGAGACACGGAAAGAGAGAGAGACACGGGGAGAGAGAGACACGGAGACACTCCGGCACCCAGATAGAGACACGGGGGGAGAGAGAGACACGGGGAGAGAGAGAGACACGGGGAGAGAGAGACACGGAGACACTCCGGCACCCAGATAGAGACACGGGGGGAGAGACACGGGGAGAGAGAGAGACACGGGGAGAGAGAGACACGGGGAGAGAGAGACACGGGGAGAGAGACACGGGGAGAGAGACACGGGGAGAGAGAGAGACACGGGGAGAGACACGGGGAGAGAGAGACACGGTGACGCGTCTTGATTGGTTGATCAATAAACACTTAAGATTTTATTTCTTTGTCAATTTTCACTCTACTCACTCACTCACCCACTCACTCACCCACCCACTCACCCATCCACCCACCCGCTCACCCACCCACTCATCCACCCGCTCACTCACCCACCCACCCACTCACCCACTCACTCACCCACCCACCCACTCACCCACCCACTCACTCACTCACCCACCCACTCACTCACCCACCCACTCACCCATCCACCCACCCGCTCACCCACCCACTCATCCACCCGCTCACTCACCCACCCACCCACTCACCCACCCACTCACCCACTCACTCACCCACCCACCCACCCACTCACCCACCCACTCACCCACCCACTCACTCACTCACTCACCCACCCACTCACTCACCCACCCACCCACTCACTCACCCACCCACTCACCCATCCACCCACCCGCTCACCCACCCACTCACCCACCCACTCACCCACCCGCCCACCCACTCACCCACCCGCTCACCCACCCATCCACTCACTCACCCACCCACTCACTCACCCACTCACTCACCCACCCGCTCACCCACCCACTCATCCACCCGCTCACTCACCCACCCACCCACTCACTCACCCACCCACTCACCCACCCGCTCACCCACCCACCCACTCACTCACCCACCCACTCACTCACTCACCCACCCACCCACCCACTCATCCACCCACTCACTCACTCACCCACTCACTCACCCACCCACCCACTCACTCACCCATCCACTCACCCACTCACCCACTCACTCACTCACTCACCCACCCACCCACTCATCCACCCACTCACTCACTCACCCACTCACTCACCCACCCACTCACTCACCCATCCACTCACCCACTCACTCACTCACCCACTCACTCACTCACTCACCCACCCACTCACTCATTCACCCACTCACCCACTTACCCACCCACTCACCCACGCACCCACACACCCACCCACCCACTCACCCACACACCCACTCACTCACCCACTCACCCACACACCCACCCACTCACCCACACACCCACCCACTCACCCACACACCCACCCACCCACTCACCCACCCACCCACTCACTCACCCACCCACTCACTCACCCACCCTCACCCATCCACCCACCCTCACCCATCCACCCACCCTCTCACCCATCCACCCACCCTCTCATCCACCCACCCACACACTCTCAGTGTGCTAATCGCTGCGCCACCGCTCCCTGAATCAGAATTCAAGTCACGTGCTCCGTGCGTGGATTCAGCGTCCCCAGAGACTCGGGGGGGGAGGGGTGGTGGTGGTGATGGTGGTGATGATGGTGGTGATGATGGTGGTGGTGGTGTGATTGTGATGATGATGATGGTGGTGATGATGGTGGTGATGGTGTGATTGTGGTGATGGTGGTGATGATGGAGGTGATGATGGTGGTGATGGTGGTGGTGTGATTGTGATGATGATGGTGGTGGTGGTGCTGATGGTGGTGATGGTATGATGATGATGGTGTGATTGTGATGATGTTGGTGGTGATGATGGTGTGATTGTGATGATGTTGGTGGTGATGGTGTGATTGTGATGATGTTGGTGGTGATGATGGTGGTGGTGGTGTGATTGTGATGATGGTGGTGATGGTGTGATTGTGGTGATGATGGTGGTGGTGATGATGGTGTGATTGTGATGATGTTGGTGGTGATGTTGGTGGTGATGATGGTGTGATTGTGATGATGTTGGTGATGATGGTGATGATGATGGTGGTGGTGATGGTGTGATTGTGATGATGTTGGTGTGATTGTGATGATGTTGGTGATGATGGTGTGGTGATGCTGGTGGTGATGGTGTGATTGTGATGATGTTGGTGGTGATGATGGTGTGATTGTGATGATGGTGATGGTGTGATTGTGATGATGTTGGTGATGATGTTGGTGATGATGGTGGTGGTGATGCTGCTGCCGTTTCCACTGCTGGAGTAAATGGAGTACAGTACAACTCACAACTCCCCTCCCACTTCAAAAGGACCGGATCACTTTTATTGGCATCACGTGGTGGTTACATTGTGGAGGCGAGGTCAAAGGTTAAATACACACGTGTGGTAAAGGGTCATACACTGGGGGGAGGGGGGAGGAGGTCACGGGGTCAAACATTGTGGTGGAGAGGTCAAAGGTTAAATACATACCTGTGGTCAAGGGTCATATACTGGGGGGGGGGGGGGGGTCACGGGGGTCAAATATTGTGGTGACGAGGTCAAAGGTTAAATACACGTGTGTGTGGGCAAGGGTCATATAGTGGGGGGTGAAAGGTCAGAGGTGATGTCAGAGAGGGGGGTGAGAGAGGGGTGATCCCCACGTGACAAACACGTGACACCATCACTACCATCATCATCAACAGAAACATCATCAGTATTCATACCATCACCAGCAGTATCATCACCATCAACAGAAATCTCATCACCATCAACAGCACCATCATCACCACCACTACCATCATCACCACCATCATCACCACCACGACCATCATCACCACCATCATCACATCACCATCATCACTATCATCACATCATCATCACTATCATCACATCACCATCATCACTATCATCATCATCACATCACCACCATCAGTATTATCATCAAGGACATCATCAGCAGCAGCGTCATCAGTGACGGTGTCACGTGGTGTGAGCTCCACTGCTGTGACAGACAAAGCTCCCCCAGGTAGCCTCTAGCAGGGCTGTAGGGGCAAGTGCTGTTAGCTAGCGAGTAGCAGCAGCAGTGTCTATGTACTACACACACCACACACAGACAAAGCTCCCCCAGGTAGCCTCTAGCAGGGCAGTAGGGGCAAGTGCTGTTAGCTGGCGAGTAGCAGCAGCAGTGTCTATGTACTACACATACCACACACAGACAAAGCTCCCCCAGGTAGCCTCTAGCAGGCTGTAGGGGCAAGTGCTTCTAGCTAGCTAGTAGCAGCAGCAGTGTCTATGTACTACACACACCACACACAGACAAAGCTCCCCCCTCAGTGGGTGAGTGGGCGAGTGGGTGGGTGAGTTCACAGCCTTCATCGCACTTGCCCCTACAGCCCTGCTAGAGGCTACCTGGGGTAGCTTTGTCTGTGTGTGGTGTGTGTAGTACATAGACACTGCTGCTGCTACTCGCTAGCTAACAGCACTTGCCCCTACAGCCCTGCTAGAGGCTACCTGGGGGAGCTTTGTCTGTGTGTGTGGTGTGTGTAGTACATAGACACTGCTGCTGCTACTCGCTAGCTAACAGCACTTGCCCCTACAGCCCTACTAGAGGCTACCTGGGGGAGCTCTGTCTGTGTGTGTGTGGTGTGTGTAGTACATAGACACTGCTGCTGCTACTCGCTAGCTAACAGCACTTGCCCCTACAGCTAGAGGCTACCTGGGGGAGCTTTGTCTGTGTGTGTAGTACATAGACACTGCTGCTGCTACTCGCTAGCTCACAGCACTTGCCCCTACAGCCCTGCTAGAGGCTACCTGGGGGAGCTTTGTCTGTATGTGGTGTGTGTAGTACATAGACACTGCTGCTACTACTCGCTAGCTAACAGCACTTGCCCCTACAGCCCTGCTAGAGGCTACCTGGGGGAGCTTTGTCTGTATGTGGTGTGTGTAGTACATAGACACTGCTGCTACTACTCGCTAGCTAACAGCACTTGCCCCTACAGCCCTGCTAGAGGCTACCTGGGGGAGCTTTGTCTGTGTGTGGTGTGTGTAGTACATAGACACTGCTGCTGCTACTCGCTAGCTAACAGCACTTGCCCCTACAGCCCTGCTAGAGGCTACCTGGGGTAGCTTTGTCTGTGTGTGGTGTGTGTAGTACATAGACACTGCTGCTGCTACTCGCTACTAACAGCACTTGCCCCTGCAGTCCTACTAGAGGCTACCTGGGGGAGCTTTGTCTGTGCGTGGTGTGTGTACTACATAGACACTGCTGCTGCTACTCGCTAGCTAACAGCACTTGCCCCTACAACCCTGCTAGAGGCTACCTGGGGGAGCTTTGTCTGTGTGTGGTGTGTGTAGTACATAGACACTGCTGCTGCTACTCGCTAGCTAACAGCACTTGCCCCTACAGCCCTACTAGAGGCTACCTGGGGGAGCTCTGTCTGTGTGTGTGTGGTGTGTGTAGTACATAGACACTGCTG